ACCGTGATTAACACAATGTAAAAACATTTGTTTTATTGCAAATTCTACACTAATACACAATTGCCCAAGCTATCGTTTTAATTGTGTTGCCAATTCTGCTTGGTACGAGGGAATTGTCTCTAAATTAGATGTCAAAGATCAAATACAGCAATGTCCTCTAATAAAACAGTGAATCTGATCGGATCAGACATAGAGTTCATTCGAATTAAGGAGACGTTGCTATCACTTACTTTCGCAGCCACGCATGAATCTATGCACCCACTGTTTATGGGTACATGTGCATCTTTTGAATCGCTCTGCATTCTATCCCAAGGTCTATTCACCAAATTTCTTATCAATATAACCGCTTTACCTTATTTCATTAAAAGTGGAGCATAAAGACTAGGATTTCTTATCTTTTAGATTACGATTATTGAGCTTAAAAGATCGGAAAAGTTATCCAATGATTTCATTTTGAGTATATGCCAGTGCGAAAGTGTGTAGATCTAACCTGGTGTTTAATAGCTTGAGGCCTTTTGGAGTTTGCTGCAATCGCAATTGAATACCACACGCAATTTTATTTTTAGCGTGTCGACTTCGTTTAAGTAAGAATCAAGGACTAATTTTAAATTTATCCCAACTCACTTAACGTTCATTGAAACTGATGCAACCAGTTTAATTATTTGCTTCGTCCAAGACACACGAGACGGTTAACGATGGACGAAATTGATTTAATCGCTTTTTCCAGGAATATTTTCCAAAAAATGCGTATGCTAACATTCACTCAGTTTTTGAGTGCCCTAACACGTAAAAAAGTGACCTTCGACCATGACAATTCCAAATTAGCGCGCGTTTTGACGACATTGGATCTAACGGCTTTGGGCATTGGGAGCACCCTTGGGGTTGGCGTGTACGTGCTCGCAGGAGAGGTTGCAAAAACATACGCAGGGCCGTCGGTCGTTATATCATTCTTCATTGCTGCCTTGGCGTCAGTGTTTGCAGGTAAGCGAATTTTCCTAAAAACTAACTTTTAAACAATCTGAATTGATAGGCTTATGCTATGCTGAATTTGGGGCACGAGTTCCAAAGGCAGGTTCTGCCTATGTCTACAGTTATGTTACCATTGGAGAGTTTGTCGCGTTCATTATTGGTTGGAACTTAATATTGGAGTACATCATTGGTAAGTAATATTGAGGTGTGGGCCTATACTGATTTCTTCGACTACAGGATCGGCAAGCGTTGTTAAAGGACTATTCACTTACCTAGACGCTTTGGTCTACCACAAGATATCGGATTTTCTTCAAGAAAACTTACCGATGAACGCCCCTGCCTTAGCGCCATTTCCGGATTTGTTTTCCCTTGGGGTCGTGTTGCTATTTTCCCGTAAGTATAAACACAGTAGAAACGAATCAGGTATACATTATCTAAATGATTACAGTTGCATTGGCGCTTGGTGCTAGAGAGTCTTCATTCGTCAACAACATTTTTACAATGGTTAACCTTTCAGTAGTAGTCTTCGCGATAGTGTCAGGATTGTGGAAAGGTATGTATGAGACTATTGCCCTCAGCATTTACTCACTCACATTGTTTAGCTGACATTTCAAACTGGTCCATACCAGAAAGTGAAGTTCCAGAAGGTTACGGAACGGGTGGATTTGCTCCATATGGGTTTGCAGGTATTATAAAAGGTGCAGCTACCTGTTTCTATGGTTTCATAGGATTTGATTGCATTGCTACCGCTGGTGAGTTGAAGCATTTCTGCACAAGAGCTGAAACTAAGACTTTACCTTGATTTCCTTAGGCGAAGAAGCTAAGACTCCCCAAAAATCGATACCCATAGCAATAATTGTTTCATTGTCGGTCATATTCTTGGCGTATTTCGGAATGTCAACGGTACTCACAATGATGCTACCGTATTACCTGCAAGATACCAATGCACCTTTGCCGCATGTGTATGATGTTGTCGGATGGCCTGTTGCGAAATACATCGTTACCGCAGGAGCTATCTGTGGACTTTTCTCTAGGTAAATCCCACTCGACTCGAGAACCTGGCTCACAAACAATTTTAGTTTATTGGGAGCTATGTTCCCTCTACCTCGTGTGATCTACTCGATGGCATCGGATGGATTAATGTTCGAAATCATTGGCCGTGTCCATCCGCGTTTCCAGACTCCAGTACTAGGCACTTTAATTGCTGGATGCTTTACAGGTGTATTGGCCTGCATTTTCGAACTTTCCCAGCTCTTTACCATGATGTCAATCGGTACTTTGAGTGCATACTCTATAGTAGCGGCGTGCGTTATTATATTAAGGTAATATACGATTGACGACCGTTTTGTACATCTCTGACCTAACAAATTGTAGGTACACCGAAGAGGAACCTAGCGATGAGAAGTTTAAATATGAAGAAGAAGTTAACGTAAGAACTGTTGCGGCTCAACTGTTCAACTATAAGTTAGAGAAACCTAACAAAGTCTCTACCTTCATAGTGACATGTGCCAGTGCAAGTTATTGTACGTGAAACCATTTCTTAGATAACTAGTAATGTTTTGTTCTTGCAGGTGTATGTTGCTTTGGACCGACTTCCATGTTGACCCTTTTTGAAAAAGACCTTCTAAACGGAGAACCATGGGTAGTCAGCATATGCGCTATCTCAACGACACTTTTGATAATGTTACTTATCATTATCTCATTTCAACCGCAATCGTCTAAATCACTGACATTTGCCGTAAGTTTTTGGCTATATTTTTGAGATTTCTTGCATATCATTTTTTTTGTACAACAGGTACCATTCGTGCCTTGGCTGCCGGGTATAAGCATATTCATCAATCTTTACCTTATGACCACTCTCGACACAGCAACTTGGATACGTTTTGTCGTATGGATCGCCGTGGGTTTGCTGATCTACTTTACCTATGGCATATGGAATAGTAAAGAGCTAAGTGTTCAACAAAGACAGAGCGGGTTAACTGGTTCCACAACTGTAAGTAACGAGAACAGCAAAACGATACTTCGTACTGCGTCAGGAGTCTAGTGATCACCTCTTTCCATTCATTGATTAATATGTGATATTAGTTTTTAGTGAACATTATTTATGTACTGTGTATTTTTAATATTCTACATTAGAAACCAATCGCAATAACTTTTCTCAATAGTTCCAGTTCAATCCTACGTTAATGTTTTCGAGAAACAGAAAAATTAAGTAAAGGAACACACGACACCTGCAAACTGCAAGATCTCGGAACTTTTTGAGAATGGCGCTAAAATTAATAAACAGAGGCCCTATTTTCATTGGTGCAGTCTACTATGACCTAAATTTTCAAAAACACTTGTGAGTGTGAGAGTTATTGGTCTTGATTACGGAAGAACTGCCGGACGGCCGGGCGAACATTTTTGAATTCAAAGCTGACAGAAAGTACTACAATGGCTCCACAAATTTCGATTCGTTTCACAGTCTCCTTCGTAGAAAGGTCTTCGTTGAAAATTATAGTCGGGGTAATAAACTTCATTCTCCAGCCAAGAGAGGCAAATTTGTACCAGAGTAGGGCACAAGGGTTCTGCAGTATAATAAATCCGAGAGCGATCCAGTTTTCAATTTGTCTTGGAGGGAGAGCCATGTAAAGACCGATTTCAGTGACAACTGTGAGTTGCATTTTTTTTGGAATTGTGCAAAGTATTGGTCGGTTATCTTTAAGAATGTTGGTTTGACCTACCGCTCTTTCCACCTGTCCCCTCACACTACCCCATCGTGCACACTCAAACACTGCGTGCTGGGGATCATCGACCTCGACGCCCTTCTCAAGGAAGGGCTGGTCTGTCCATCCTACGAGCGTGGTTCTTTGGTGAATTTTCTTTGTGACGCTCTGGTACCCCTTTATGCAGACTTCGCGGCCCGGATCGTCCCAGGGTTGCTTCAGGCATTACCGCTTGCTATCGTTAATTATCTTACATAGTTCCAGATGATTGCGTTGCTAAGACTCTTTTTCCTCTCGACTACGTGACCGGGCCTCGCCCCTCTTTGGTGTATTCTTCTAGCCGCATTACACCGTTTTTTTTGTTGGGTTGTCTCTTGCGTCCACCAGTATACCGGTCGCCTTCTGTCCTCCCGGTACGGTGGCATGGTCTGGTCGCAAACTGTCTTGAGTGGGAGTTTTATTTTTTCCGCGTCCCACAGCGGACCTGCGTCCGTCCTTCTGGTCTCTGAGTGCTATCGGGTCCAACCTGTTGGTGTTCCCGAATATTCCAACCGTCTTTCGTAGGCCGACTTCAGTCACCCTCGTCGAACACGACCGCGCTGACGAATCCGGGTACTGTGCGATCAAAAAAAGGGTTGCTGTCGAGTCGCCTTTGGAATTGTTGTTTGCATGGGAAAAGCGGAGTACCTAACGTTAAAATGAGCACTGAAACGCAAAAACTAGACTATCCCCCCTTGTCACAAATGAAGTCCTGATGTTAAGAAAGTCACGGTAATACCCAAAAGGTTCAGTAGGCACCAAGAAATGTGATACCGTCAGGTATATAAGAATGGCAACAAGAAGGCAAAAATTATCAAGCAGAGTAGGACGGCGCTTAGGTGGAGCAGGGTAGTATCAAAAATGGCAGGGTAGCTGGTGAAAGTAGTGATTAAAATAATATGCGTTCAGTGGTGACAGACGCTGATGGCGCTAATTAAACATACATTGACATAACTAAAGCCTTTAGGTGCTACTCTCTTTCACTTGTGGCCAACAGAACAGAGCACCTTCGGTGTGGTCCTTTTGCTCTAGACGCTTACCTGCTGCACGTGGCACCATTTGAATTCGTCTGTCCGTTTGCCAGTCTGGGCGCCCTCCCGTTTATCTGTGCGCTCTATAACTGTTGAACGGAAGGCCTTAGAGTCTTGACACTTGGTTCATAGATTCCCCTAGGTCCAAGTAATACACTGAACTTCTAATGAAGGTTTCCACTTCCGCTCATGGATTTTCGAATCATCCGATATATAAACTACAAAAGGACCTACCAATTTTTGACAACTTTTCACCCTTTCACCCAAATGTCATCGCAAACCCTTTGCTACACAATGTAAGATTCCCGTTCGTCAAACTCTTCATCTTTGCATCACCAGCCTGTGGGCTTTATTAAAAACTGTGTAAGTGACTCACATTAAACCGTAGAGTTTGACATTAGCTACGGTTGTCATGTCTAAATTTTTAGTAAATTCCCACGCTTCTAAATGGCTCAATCTCGACCAAGTCCGGAAAATGTCTTAAGGGAAGTGCGACAAAGCTTGGAAACCTTAAGTTATCAGTTACAATCGGAACTAATTACAAATCCCCGGGATCAAGAAAAGCACAAGACAAAAATGAAACTGGCACTAATTGATTTAGAAGCAATGGATAGGAGACTGCTTGAAACTTGCAATTCATTAATGGAGGAGGAACAAGATGACCTGGAGTCAAACTTTGGAGTTAGCTTAAAGCTGGAAATGGCACAGAGCGCACTGTCCATGCTCAAAGAAAAACACAGCAGCCTTCGGAAGGAGTGGTACAGCCAAGACGAACATTTGCGTAAACTGACCAAGAAGATATGCGACACAGAGAAGCAGTTCAAGTCTCAAAGGATAGCGTGTGCGACACAAGGATTGCTCTTTAGTAAAGTTCTGTGGAAGTTCTCTAAGAGCAACAATCTGTTGGAAATAATTGTATCGCATGAAAACTTAGTGCTCGATTTACTCAAAATTTATACCAGCACCCTATGTGGGTTCACTAACGAATCTATGAATACCTCCTCGGATGACTATCAGTATTTGCTTAGCCTCACCGGAATCATCAACAATTTTGCAACAATTCCCGATGGAAGATTCTTCTTAATCAATCAACCGATATGTCAAAACGCTATTAACCAGGTGATCAAAAGTATTCCTCAGATTCAATCTCCGCTAGGTGAAGATCTAAAGTTTCTTCTACTTACACTGCTGTACAACATAATGATCTGCAAAGAAGGTGAAGAAGTTATCCGTAACGATTGTTGTTTAAATTACAGTTTAACGAGTTGCATATCTCCCCCTCAGTCGGCTCGACTCACGATATTAGCAATGAAAATTATGAAAGGTGCAGAGAAACGGTATTGTCCTGTTGAAGCGATTACAAAGTTGCGTAGTGGATCACCGACAGAGTCTAGAAAGGATGAAGCGAAACTTAAGAAGGACTGTTGTGCAAAAGATGGAGTGGTGAGAAAGATCAGTAGAATGAGACCTACAGAGGGTGCATACCCCAATAATATTTTGGCATACTATCTACTTACTAATACATATTTTCCTTGTGCACCCAGTAACAATAATCATGCAACACTAACTGAAGCAAGTTCATCCAGAAGCGAAACCCGTGCATGCGAAATGTCAGATTTGCAACCCCGGCGAATCGTGAATGAGAGCAAGTCAACATCCATGAGTCGCGTTTTAGTAAACTTGCGAGAAATTGGTCAAGGCATCAGTGATGAAATACACTCGATGCGATATCAACTTCCCAATTCAAATTTGGGTAGAACCTTTTCGATAACCATTGGCGACAACCTTCAAATCTCCATACCAGCTGGTAATCTCACTAAGTTATCGGGTGGGTGCTGTTTTGGTGATGATATCAAAAATACGTCCATTGTGACGGTGTACAGGAAAGACGATGGTCAGTTAAATACGTTTTCAGACAATACAATTTTGCCATTCGTCACAGTCACCTGCAATGACGCTTCTACGGCCATTGATGAGTCCAAAGCTGCGACGGAAGTCATAGACGTGGGTCAATTTAAAACGGATATAGGCGATGAAGATGTTCAGTCGACGTCAATCCGTGGCCCAACCTTTAACCGAAAGAAGTTACATAAGAAGAAACGGGTTCGTAAATTGATTGCCAAGACGTCTTATTTCAAAAGAAAGCGATCTTTTAAGAGAACGAGTAAGAGCACGCGGGGGAGGTCGAGTTGTATTAATTCAGACGCTAGCGGACGTTAAAAAACAACGAAAACATGGTGGATTTTGGATTACTTGACCAAGATCTGGGTTCTCCACTAAAATATAAAAATGCGCAATAACACAATACAGGTACAGTGTCTGCTAAAATTTGTGATATATAGGAGAATTGTAAAAAATACGTGTTTGTGACTATGAATACCTATGTGTGCTTAAAATAATTTATTTTCTGCAAGGGTGCACAATTTAGTTTCAAAGGGAATACATAATATGCATAACGTGGTGGATTTAGTATATGCGGGTGTTTTTATCAAAATATCACAATACCATTGTCTCGTTTCTTTTGACACATTTGTCTTGGCAACTTACCTTTGTGATTCATTCTACTGGTATAGTTAATTTTGTTCTGTGAGCGTAAGGGAGCATAAGTGGAATATGTCAAAATCACACAATGCACAAAATAGATGAACATGTGGTCAAAATTTATTGATCAGCTACTTGAACCTAAAAGCAACTACTTATTAAGCAGAGAAAATCTAGCAGTACCAAGTTTTCTCTGAAGTTTTCTTTGGTCACAAGTCGGGCTTAAACTTTGGCCTCACGTATGGCGGAGGACTCGGACGGCAATGCATGCCTCTAGGGCCAAGCGATGGGCTCTCCGTATGACTCCGTGAGACTAGCTCTGGAGACAGACACGCTGTTGAGTAACTTTTCAGTGAATGCGAGGTTCGACTCAACGATGCATAGGGATGAATAGCCTCATGTGTTGGTGTGTGATTCGCAAAATCCCTTGATCTGTAACGTCAAAAGCGGTTAGAACTTTGATTATCATTTTGAGGGGTGTGTAAGTAGACAACCCACCGCAACAAAAGTTATTCGCAAACTTTCACCCAAAAACCTTTTACCTTAAGTAATCAGTACAAATATGAAATATATTATCTAGAAACTCTTCACTATGGCTGTCGGCGCTGTAAAAGATGCAAGTGTGGAAACATGGACGTATATAATATGTCTCCTTCTGTCGATACTTACATGGCCTCGTGATGGAAGCACAAGATAAATGAGAGCATCATGGTTAGCGCCGTAAATAAAAATAGTGGAAGAAGGATGGTGACCGCGAATTCGTGGGAGTAGCTCCTCTCCGGAAGATCATCAATGGAAAAAGCGCGCCAATGATTATTTGCCTCCAAGTTTGACAGTTTCTCTAATTTCTCTGTACTAGAATAGTGATGCCCCAGTGCCGAACTGCTATCTTCAATCTACAACAACATGCTACTGACTGTCTAATGAGCGATTGCTTACCAGGCGAAATGCGCACCAATCCAATGCAAACCCGGCATCCCTAAAGAAGCGTTCAACCGTAGTGCGTTTAAAATCTCTTGGGCACGTTTTGTGCTTCCACAAGGGCTTCACCTCCTTTTGCAACTTAATCAACTCATTCGACAAATGTACTCGGCTACCTATTCGCACAACTACTCTAAAAAAGACAGTTAAACTCAATTACATTTCATCGGCATCTTACCCTTCCCCTTCGTCGGGATTTGGCGGAAGTCGTGCACCCAACTGCACGGCCGAAGCTAGAAACGTCATGTGCATGTCTTTACCACTCTCCCTCCAAAGTGACCTTCGGAAGACATTTTTTAATCTCTCAACCCTTTCGTGATCGAACATATCCTCAACGTTCAAATTGTCTATCTTCAAGTGTACCTCACTTTTAGCCGGGTAAGGCTTTTCGTTGATGTGGATCGTTAGTATGTGATGTCGCGTCTCGTAATTTTGACGGTTTAGTCCAACTATTTCGATGTGAACGTCCGTATGTAGATTGTCTGGAGGCACCCCGTATAGGTAACCGGTATGGTGGCGATTACTGTAGTAGTAATTGATCCACGACGGTAAATCAGGCGAGTGCATAAGGGAGGGTTGGTAAACAAATTGATCTGGATTTTCTATTAGAAAAAGATTTACTCAACTGTTTCTGGAATTTGTCCCTACCTTCGTACGTCCAATTAAATAATGTAGGGTTTACGTGTATTACAAACACCTCAGTTTTCGTGATATTATGAGCGATGGCCAAAGTAAAAAGCGATAGGATTAATACACAAAATTTATTCATCTTGTTAGTGAAATGCGTGCGTTAACTTTTGTGTTTATTATTGAACAGCGAAACTCTGCTCGTCGATATTTTAGGAATATGGGGAGTTTGCGTAGTTCTAGTAATTTCAAACCAGGTTCATGCGCAAGAAATTGCTTCTCTTTAATAAATCCTGAAAATAACGGTGTTGATGCTTTTTCTATGTATAGAAATTGCGGGTTTGAATGTCTTAACCATTGACTATTTCTTGGTATTAGGTAACAATTTTCCTTACAAAAATATAAAAATTAACGAGAAAGCTCATATTTCATATTATTAGTTTAAAATTGAAAATTTTAAGCTTTTGTGATGCCTTGCAGGACACAATTAGGTGTGGCAAATGTATAACTAGCAGACCCGACGAAATTTGTACCGCCTTTGGAAAATCCATTTTTTTTCCTTTCCGGAGGGAATTTGGGGAAGTGGTTTCGGACTACCTACTCGTTACACCTTCAAAGAAACCTACTTTCCAAATATCAAGTCTCTATATTCCGTAGTTTTGACTGTCAACGTCAAGTCCCTTTTATTCGCGTTCTGTGGGAATTTCGGGAAGGGCATCAGAATCAGAAACGTTCGCGGACATACCTACGTCGAACCATTCCCCAAAGTTTCATAACGTAATCGGATGAAAGGTTTAAGCAGACACAATTTACAGACAGACAGACCAACATTCATTTTTATTTATATAGAATATGACGGTCAATCCGTTCCTTCACCTGTACAGACTGTCCCGAATTCGACGGTTACCTACTAATTATTCGGATCTCAGCGACACTTGCAAAAATTTCATTTGTAATCAAACTACTTACACCTTGAGTAACAAGGATAGTTTAAAACGTCACATTTTATCACGATATTACTTTCAAGAATTTTAAATGTTAACAGTGCAATTACACAACCAACAATAAGGCTATAAGTTATAAGTGCTTTTCACCGTTTAACGTCTTCGCACGCTTTTTTTTACTAATGATTGTGTTTATTACTAATACTTATTACTAATAATTCATTTATTAATCCACATTCAAGGATGTTTCGTGCAGTCTGTGCGATTAGGTATATGCCACAATCAGTAAGAAAAATTTAAATAGGCATTTATTAAAGCACGGCACATCGAAAAATACTAAAATTTGAAGGATAAATTGTGATCTTTATTGGTAATTAGAAAGTTAAGTTAATTGAGTGTTGAAGCTAATTTAAGAGAGCCTCCAGTTCTCAAGAAAAGGGCCCCACAGGTACGATAGAGTTAAAGGATTATATTTTCAATTTTGAAAAACGGCATGTGAGCTGAGATCTTTGTCTCTATACAGTAAATTCGGCGCTTCTTTAATGCTCTCTATCTATCCTAGTAGACATAATCAGTGTAGATGGAAGCAAATTTACTGCTCTACATTCTTGAATATACAAATTTTCTGCCAAAATCGCATAATTTAGGATTTATAATCGAAAAACTGCGATCGCACGGCACTACCATTGATTATATACAGTTATAATCAATGGCACTACTAATTTAGTTAACTGCAACAAAAAATTTATTGACCCTGTATATTAGAGGCGGTGTCTGAGTGAACACAGAGTGCGTTTCAAAGTTGAAAATTCCACTATTTCACATAACCTCAAAATCCTGTTTTATAAAACCATAAAATCTTTTAATTTAATATGATTTTTCTTTGATAAATGATAACAATGTTGAAAACAACAGCTAGGATAAATTACTTTTATAGATATAAAAATTTTCTGCAACATTTGCTCATAACTGAGCGGTTATGTTTTTCCACTAGTTCGGTGTACTACTCCAGAGGAAAGAAAGACGATGTTACCTTATCTACGTTATTTAAACCAGTATCAATTACACCAACATCTGATGATATCAATGTAGGAGCTGAGTTAACGGGTATATTAAACAAAGCCGACTTACTAAAAGTGCTAAATAAGTTTTACCAGTTACCGGAGATCAAACTGTTGCTAAACGAAAATGGCTTAGACAGTAAGTGGCACATTTCTTATTGCCATAAGTTAATTGAAAACCATTTAGATTACCTACAGCACCAAGCTTATATAAGCTTCAGACGGTTCTGTCTAGATGCTCAAACTTTGCCCGTGGATCTACACGTAGTGATCAGTGATATTATGCAAGGGGCTGGTCACCCGACTGATATCTTGCCTTACTTTCTGCGGCACGCGAAGCAGATGTTCCCACATTTAGACTGCATGGACGATCTAAAAAAGATATCCGATTTACGTACGCCTCCCAATTGGTATCCTGAGGCACGGGCACTCAACCGTAAGATTATCATTCATGCTGGTCCCACCAACTCTGGTAAGACGTACCATGCTTTGGAAAGGTTCATGACTGCTAAATCGGGTGTCTATTGTGGACCGCTGAAGCTTTTAGCCACTGAGGTTTTTAATAAGTCTAACCGAAATGTAGGTAATGCTGGCTTGATAATGCGATGTCGGGTGCATTATAGTAAACTTTTAGGGGACGCCGTGTGATCTTGTCACAGGTGAGGAACGAAGTTATGCAGATCCCAGTAAGAATCCTTCAGCACATGTTGCGTGTACGGTTGAAATGACTTCGCTTTCTACACCATGTATGTGATGGGACTTCTCAGTTGAGTTTTTAACAAGCTTTAATTTAAGATGAGGTGGCGGTTATAGATGAAATTCAGATGATTCGTGACCCGTCGCGAGGGTGGGCGTGGACTCGTGCGTTGTTAGGTTGTGTTGCAGATGAGATCCATCTGTGTGGAGAAGTAGGTTCCATCGATTTACTGCAGCAATTATGTTTAACTACAGGGGAAGATGTCGAGATAAGAAAGTATAAACGGCTCACTGACTTACAAATTGAAGATACTGCTCTTGGTAGGTATTTGAATGATTTGTGTGTATAGTCACTTACAGAATTAATGGTCCTCAAATGCCTTAGCTATGTCAGTACTTCTTTTTATCTACAAGGTAGGTATAGGTATAGAAGCAGTGATTAGTTAATTGTGTTAGTAAAGATATTGGGTTATCCATGATTTCAAAATCTACAAAATACCAGGTTGATAACTGAGACAACTTGTGTACTGGTTATTGAAGTTTATTAAATTATATATCCACCACCAACTGTTTTATCACTGTCAATCATTACTTAAGATTGCCAATAATTCCTATAGTGATTATCTAACTGCCAGTTATTTTGCAACTGGCAGACCACTGTTATAGAGACTAATCTTGGTAAGAAATACAAACCAAGACAGTAGATATGCATGATATCATGGGGAATAGGTAGTTGAAATGCCTCGGAGAGGTTGGAGTTACTGCATACAGGGTGAAACAATACAATAGTAGGTACTTATGTAAGAAAAATTGGGTAATAGAGTTTGTTACGGAAACTCTGATCTTATAATGGCCTATATTTTAGTTGATTTTTTAGATAGGTATTTGCAGCATTTTCAGTTAACTACATTCGAAATTAGATCACTCACTAGTAGGTGGGGGACACTGTAACCTTTTACTTTTGTTTGAAAAGTTATTTTAAAGAAATGCTTGACAATTTTGTTCCTTAACTCATCACGCATGTACACAACAAATTTCGTGGAATTCTCTCCATTTTCGTTGCCTGGCCAAGAATTGCAGTGGAACTTTTTTTTCGAATTTTCAAATACTAATTCCAGATTCGTGATTTTCATGTTCAAAAACCTTAAAGTCCAAGTAGGCGTGCGCCCTTCCGTGGTAGGAATATTGAAAAAAAAATTTCAAAATCGGATAGGGCATACCCGAAAACCTATCAAAGACGTGCCACTCATCTTTGTAACTCTTATGGTTGCTGAGATAAAAATTAAAGAAATCCAAATTTCACCACTTCTTTGGGGGTGGCTCACAAACGAAACATGTTGAACCCTCGGTTTATTTGGAAAAAGTGCTTGTCTTAATCCCCTCTATCACCCAATTTTTTTTTACATGCGGTCATGTAATACTCGGTATATTTAGTTAGCTACACCACCATTTTGTAGGTATGTAAGTATGTATAAATAGGAGAGCCAATAAGTGATGTCATAAAAGTCCAAATTTTTCTGGACGTACTTACATAAAATTTCGGTGGGGGTTATAACGCCCAAACCCCCCTCTCCCATGATATTTTGAACATCTGATCTGATGCAATTATTTTCATTGTTTTGTTACCGCGAATAGATTTTGTTCTTTTTTTAATTCATAACAGACTGCTTGATTAAAATATAAAAACCGTTGATATAACTGGTCTCTTATTTTCAATCTTATGGTATAATAGCAATAGCTCGTTGAAAATAGAATTATTTAAAAATTCAATTGGCGCCTATTTAACTTTAGGAAGTTGGTAAATGTTCCTCAAACTAGCCATCTTGAATTTTTTTACATCAATTCTAAATTAAGCGTAACTTTTATATAAAACTTTTTTTGTATCTCGTATACTTTCGATGATATAAGATATTCAAGGAAATGACAAATTTTACTTTTTATGAAATTACGCCTTATTCGACATTTTGAACTTTCACAAGCAAATTTTAAATAAGCATCGAAAACTGCAAAAGCCCATTTAACCAATTCTCTATCTTTAGTAATAAGAAAGTTACCCATGCGATCTGGAACACACTGTATACGGCAAAAAATTAAACAAGTATAAATTGTGCACAACTCCCGTGCAGATAAAGCGCATTTTTTAAACCGAAATAGCTTTTGTTTTGACATCACCAATGGATACATTTCGCTTGTCTCATTTTCCGAATGCGTGGAAAATTAGTGAATGTATTCTAATAAAGAAGAAATTAAAAGAAAAAGATGCGAACCCTCCAAAATATAGACCACCACTGTCCTGTTTAGGAAAAATTCTAGAAAAAATTATAAATGACAGATTCAATTATGATTTAGAAAAAAATAACAAGTCCTTAAACAATTTGGATTTACAGATGGGATAGGGACAGAAGGCGTAATTGATAAACTAACATACTTATGTAAACTATTTAAAAAAATCGGAATTGGGAGTATCAATAGATATTAAAGCTGCGTTCGAAAATGTCTGGTGGCCCTCAGTATTTTACGAAATAAAAAACAAAAAATACATTTGGAATATAATATAAAATTATTATTTTTTAATTTTTTTGTTGCCTTTATTTTATAGTGGGTGGAGTATTAGCAATTTGCTAGTCATAGAAATATGATATATAAAACAAACACACAAAATACATAAAGAAATAAGCAAAGGATGTCCTCAAGAAATAGCGTATGCATATGATAAAATCATACTAAGTAATTGCAGAAAATTATAGATAAAAATTAGAAGTTCGGAAAAATTAATTTAAAATTTAGAGAAGTGGTCCATTGAAAACAAATGAGAAATATCAACAAAAAAACCAGAAATGATATTACTAAAGGGTACATTGGATATTAAACGTCCACCAAAAATAAGAATAAATAATAATCAAATTAAAATAGTAAAAATAATCAAATATTTAGGAATTGCCATTGCCGGTCGGCGTTTTGCGGTTGGAGAGAAACAAGTTCTTAATTGAAATTTAAAGTAAGACGTTCAAGGTGAACGTGAACCTCCTATGGAAATTAAGGTCGTGTAACAATTCACTAACAGGAGAGGGTTGGTTAGATCTTCTTGATCGTCGCGGACTTGCCATAAATAACAATTCCTTGAGGGTTTTCCGAAAGTCCGCTTTAAGGGTTAGAGAAAGATGGAAATCGCCATTATTTCAAGATCTGCGAATAACGAAAAAAAGGATTTCAAAAATCCTGTTGTCCCGTTTAGATGTTTTTTGTCGGTAATCTGTCTTACACACGACTTGAATGCTGAAAGGGGAAATGTCTATCACGCCAATCTCCCAATCAGTAGGTAACTTAGAGACGAAACGACTTTTGAGTGGTTTATCTTCTATCAATCGCTTTGCTTCGGAACTTTTCATGCCATTATCGTCCCCGTGTCATCTCCCTAACAATAAAGAACTAATTTAGTTTGCCCTTTTAGGTAGCCTAGAAAACGTTCAACCGGGCGACTGCATCGTGTGTTTCAGTAAAAACGATATTTATTCGGTGTCGAGGGCGATTGAAGCTAGTGGCAAAGAGGTCGCCGTTATTTACGGCGGATTGCCTCCAGGAACTAAATTGGCACAGGCCGCAAAATTTAACGATCCTGATAATAGCTGCAAAGTGCTTGTGGCGACCGATGCTATTGGGATGGGACTAAATTTGTACGTTTTATCATCAGTTTGAGTTACAGAGCTCATGAGTCTCTTTCTAGGAGTATTCGCAGGGTCATTTTCTATTCCCTTATAAAACCGGTAGTTAATGAAAAGGGCGAAAAAGAAATGGATACCATATCGGTTTCGCAGGCTTTACAGATTGCGGGACGAGCTGGAAGGTGCAAAATTTCTGCGTCGTTTTCTTTTTCACTTTTTTTTGTTGACAGGTATGGCACTCAGTGGGAACAAGGGTTTGTGACGACCTTCAAATCGGAAGATTTGCAAACTCTTGGGTCACTCCTTAGTCAAACTCCGGAACCGATAGTTAAGGCTGGATTACATCCTACCGCCGATCAAATTGAGCTCTACGCGTATCATTTACCGAATGCAACATTGAGCAATCTTATGGTAAGTAGGTGAGTTTAATCACGTTGAGTTTTGAAATTGTTTTTTAGGATATATTTGTAAATCTTTGCACTGTTGATGACTCGTTATATTTTATGTGTAACATCGAAGATTTTAAATTTTTGGCCGATATGATACAGCATGTGCCATTGCCATTACGAGCAAGGTACGTGTTTTGTTGTGCACCCATAAATAAAAAGATGCCATTTGTGTGCACTATGTTTCTGAAGGTAGGCCATTGCGATCCACATTGTGCTAAATCTAATGTTTGAATTCTAGTTCGCTCGCCAATACAGTAGAAATGAAGCGATCACATTTGATTGGCTCTGTCGCAATATAGGTTGGCCATTACAATCACCTCGAACAATTATCGATTTAGTACACCTAGAGGCAGTTTTCGACGTTCTAGATCTATATCTTTGGTTTAGGTATTGGTGCTAAACTTATAATCTCAAAGTTTCATTGTCTATTCTAGCTATCGTTTCATGGATCTGTTTCGTGACGGCCCATTAGTTCGCGATATGCAAAAGGAATTAGATGCCATTATTCAACAGGGGGTTGTACAATTAACTAGGCTGTTACGGAACTCGGAAACGGTTGTCAGTTCTGGCGCATCTGCCGCTCCTGACGAGGATCAATTTTCCATAAATAGAAGAAAGCAAAATTATTTACGAGGTTCGTATCCGCTGAGCGCTTACGTTCCCAAGCTCACTCCTTTTATGTTTCACAGAACAGAAATCTGCTCCAATTGGGGGAGGTAGACTGACCGAACGGCTACTTGCCCAAGGACTTCTAACTCCGAATATGTTACAAGAGTTAAAAAAGGAGTGGATTTCTAATCCAAATGATTCCCAATCCGAAATGACAATGTTACGGCGGAAACGTAAGCCGCCTTATAAAAAATAATATAAAATAGTAGAAAATTGTAAATATTGTGCGAGATGTTTTGTATATAGGTTTATAACCACTAAAATTAATAAAAAATGAGCGTAAAAATCATTCGGTTCTCTGTAAAAGTGCTACGTAAAATTCCTTGGGACCACTGAGTGAGATTTTTTCGATGCGGCATTGGCCTGTTAAATTACGCGAGCAAGTTCGTAATTTGGGTTTACGTATGTACGTGAATTATTCACAGCGACAAGGTACGAGCTTCAACACGACGTCTACGTGACTAGAGCGGCGTACATTTTTGAGCAGTTTGAACGACATTAACAATGTATTGGTAGGTACTGCCAAAGCCAAAAACACAAAAAAAAAACAATGTTGTCAGTTTAAACCATAAAGTTATGTTAAAATGCGACCTTAGGGAAGCGTTAAAACCCCTACGTGACTGACATTAATAATTGAAGGTACATGCATTTTCCTTTGCACAAACAGTAAGTATAGTTTCCGTGAGAAATTCTGTGTGTAGCCAGTAGCAGCGTTCCCTTAGAAAAAAAATTTTCGTTTTAAAAAGAGAAACCTTAATTGAAAAAAAGGATAAACGCGCCTAAAGTGCTAAATGTGAAGTAAATTGATATAGTATTAAATACAGGCTAATTCCCACGATTTGAAAAATATTGCGTTGCCACAACCAATAGCGGAAGTCAGACGCGCGGAAGTAAAACTGATGTCAGCTGACTGAAATCATGCAGGCGCAGGCGAGGAGTTTGTGTCATAACTCCAATATCAGAGAGATGTGGGGTACATACACTATCTGACGCGTTTAACCGAACTATTTCCGTAGATAACCGAATCGAATGACCTTGAAAGTTGAACTTGATGCATGCGCAGAACTCGAGATAAAGGTGCACCGGAGCGGTGTCATGATACTACAACTTAACAGTATCATGGAGCGGTGTTGGATACTTAGGTAGATAAACAACACCGATATGAGCGCACTTTTACATGCTCCAAAGAGATATTGATTAATTTGGGGGGATGTACATGATTAGTAAAGCCATGCTACCACAATTGTATGTAAAGTGTATTTTTAAAAAAAGTATAAATGGTGCTTATTCATTTTCCCTGGCATCCTCGCCCTTAAAACCACCCATCCACGTGATGGGTATTATTTCTTTGGCTAAGTACTTATACCAATTGTAGTACAAAAAAATGTACTTACTAGAAAAATGAAAACTGAACAGGTAGGTAAGTAGTATGGTAACTGCTAACAGGTAACAGGTGCAGAATCAGATCGCTTTATTTAAAAAGGCGAATTTCGAAAAAGATTAACTAGTCTTTTTAGATAATTAATTGAAATCAGAATCAAAGATTGTAAAGGTGTCGAAAACTTACGTACATTTCTTGTATTCTTATCAAATAGAAATTTCTGAGTTTATTACCAGTCCACGCGCATGGGAAATTATATCACGAAAATGTGCTGCTTCATGAAGTGGCTGCGTTACGAGTTTTATAGTGAGCTTCCTAATACCCCTAAAAGCGGGTCTTCTGCTTCCTTATGGTACCAGATACTTTTCTCTAGATGATTTGGTGGTCACCATGTCGAATCTTTCTTTCGGAAACCTATCAGAAGGTGGTTAACCCCTTTTTGACGACAATGTGGGTCGTGCGCAACTAGTATGTCGGGGGACTACTGCTTTCCGAGGAGAGCTGTTGCATTCATTGTAGCTGTTGCACTTGTATAGCTCCGGTAATTTCACGATAAGAAAATTGCACCCAAGTTGCGCCAATTACAGATAACACGACGGGGGATATAAATACGAATTCTGTGATTTAGACGAATTTTCTTAATTTACCTGCGAGCGGTACTAATTCCTTCTCTACGATTTTAAATGAACTTACCTTTGGCAGATTGATTATTGTAATGAATAATAATTAAATTGAACATATAATATACTATGCGATCAAAAATGAGTTGCTGTCGAGTCACCTTTGGAATTTTTGTTTGCATGTGAAATCGTATTTAATTTGAACTTCCAAAGGCCACTCGACAGCAACTCATTTTTGATCGCCCGTTACATATGCATAAGTTCCCCGCAAAAAGAAATACAAATAACGCGACCCGTTACACTAGTACCGTTCGATCTTCTTGGAATTTATTTTCACGGGACCACTTTCTTTATACGGGTATCTTGGAAGTAATTACTCTTCTACCATGTTTACTTTATTCGGAATATATTTTCTGCAAGGTTATACCTATCTCTACTTTTTAGAAAGATTTGCTCCCATATCTATTACATAGAAAAAGGGTGATGTATTCATCTCAAGGCATAATGGCATTGATGAACCAGAAGTTGTTCAACATGGAAGTATAAAAAGAGCACAAAAACAACTCATTTCCCTTCTGGTTTTGAACTTTGGAAATTCGGTTTAAGGTTTGCTTACCCTACGGAATACCGCTTTGAGAATGTGTAACGAGAGAGTTATTTTTACGTAAATTTTACTCCATGAAAATATGCGGAAGAATAAATTCTAAACGTTAAACATTTTTCATTCAACGGTTAAATGCAGTCTAGGTTTCACTATAATGTTTCATATATCTTGCGTGCCAAGTCAAAGCTTCCTTGGGCAAAAATTCCGCTTCATCAGCTTTTTTGGAAGGCAGTCCTAACGCTAGTGAACGAGTGGGAATTATAACTGAACATCTCCGCCATTGCTGTCTATTATGAAATAAGCGTTTTAAGTTAGCTTAGCGTAGAAAGAGACGATGAGCTTTTGCACAAAAAGATACATTCGAGTTTGGTCAGTCAACCAAGAATATCTGATTCTGGTTTTAGCCGTGAGGTGAGACCGTTGTGTCTTGTCAGTTAAGGCGAACAGATTAACGTTTTTTGGTCAGCGAGAGTTTTTATTTAGAGGCTTTAGAGCCCCAATAATTAAACTCAGCGTTCTGAATAGCCGAGCTTCAAAGTGAAGAAAATAGTCATGTCCAGCGAGGTATTTTCCAGAAACCCATTTCCCAATGGGTTTTTTGGAAGTTTGCATTTGGCCCAAGTGGAAAAGTTTACCAGTTCCCATTTTGGATTATTAAAACGATAGTGTATTTTAGTTTGGTTACCCTTAATGAGCGTTACGCAAGTAAAATTTGCGCATTAAAGTTAACCAAGTGAAAGGTTTGCGAAAGTGATTTCCCACTGATTCAATTTGAAAATTACCAAAAACGTTCAAAAGCGAGATTACAATTTGTACTGAACCAAAAAAGGAACACAACCGAAATTGGCCCATCAACCGTTCAACATAAAAGGAGTCTCTTTTCGAAAGCTGCCGTAGGAATAACTCCTACCGTCCGGTTTTTTAAGAATGCGCCAAAGAAACCATTCGAACCTTCTCCAATGTGTTAAACCAATTCCACTAGCTGTAAAAAAACTCCAGGTCTCCACACCAAAGGAAAGAACGAAACACGACATGATATCAATTTGTTGTAAAATTAACTCGACATCTTTATTATCCATTAAGGAAAGTAAATTTTGAGCTATTACTAGACCAATTGAAATCAGAATCAAAGGTTGTGAAGGTGTCGAAAACTTATGTATATTTTTTTGTATTCTCGTGAAAAGAAATTTCTGAGTTTGTGACCGAACCGTTGTCGTTGGTCTCCGAATGCACCCTAAAATCTAATAACTTATAGAAACGTAAAGTGTCTTAAATAAAGGATTGTTATTTCGACCAATATCTCTTACTTATTGTGTTTGTGTGCGCCGATTTCCGCCTCTATATATTCACGTACCTATATTAATTCTACTGACAGGTACCTACCTATATCTCGTCCAGAACTCGACTCCAAATTTCTGTTAAGAAAAGTACTCAAATTTTGAAGCGCTCTCTCCGCTCTCCCCATGTAATAAGTTAGAAGCGATGTTCATATTCACTCAGTTTTTCCCCTTCTAATAAAACTCGATGTAGTACTGAACTAATCATGTTTTATTTCATACATTAAAATTACATAGGTAAGTATTCTTGTGGATACAGTAATCATCACACACTTAAAAATACTGTTTCTGTACGTATAATGAGCCGTTAAAAATCAATAAGTTCCCTATTACATGTTTTTTAACTAACTGGAAATATTGACACGTTCCAATATACAAAACCGACAAATAACGTCAATCATATACAGACATAATTAAACAGTTACATTTATGACGAAAATACTTAATGAAATGAGTCTAATATGAAACTAAATAAAAAATAACTAATAAATTATGTTCTCGCGTTCAAGTTCGAACTCTGGGCGCTTTTTATGGGGCTATGATAAACTGGAAAAATGCCATCGGAAAATGACAATTTGGTCTTGCAAAAGAAAAGAATGAATCCATCGCTAGGGTTATTTGTTTTGATATGTGATCCGACTTCTTCTGGCACGAAAGTATTCCAACCGAACCGCACATTTGCCAAATTTTAAACGTCGCCTCATTAATCACACAAAAACGGAAGATAAAATTAATGATGATAACATGTATTTTTTCTAATGTCAGCTTATTTTTCGTCGTTTTATTTTCTCATTTGAAAGATAAATTTTTTTCATGTTTACACTGTTCTGCGTGGTTTCGGAATTTTTAATGAAAGAAAATAGAATTATTTTATACTTTGGGATATTAAACCACTCGACTTCGTCCCGTTGTTTATACAGATACACCCCTCGATGAACAAACAAATTGCCCGTAATATATTGTTGAAAGGTTAGGGGTGCTGTTCACTCCCATTATTAACTTAGTTTTACAAATTACAATCTATTTTTATTTCAAATCTTTGGGAAAATGATCACTGACTAGAGTGTTGGACTGTGATGGATGAAACATATTATAAGTATAAATACTGATTGAGAATATCTTTGAACAAGTCGCATGTAACAACTAACTATGACCTAGCTATATCAATACGTAAAACTAGACACAATGTTTTTAACTACCTACTTTAAGCACATTGAACTGACTAGAAAACTTTACAAAAATTGTACTTATTTAAAAGGAGTTATTTATGTTGGAAAGACATATCAGCTCTATGAGACTTTGTGAAATGTTTACACGTCAAACGCCAAAAAGCTATTCGAAAATCGGGACTGTAAAAGGCGTATATGAATGGATTGATAGCCGAATTGATCCAGCCTAGCCAGGTGAAGTATGCCATTACGACATTGTTCTCGATCATGCTGGATGGCAGAAACGGTGTGAGTAGGTAGTACACGAAGAATGGCAGCCAACAGGCCACAAATCCGCCCACGACAATACTTAAAGTTTGTGCAGTCTTTGTTTCTCTTCGAAAAGATGAAACGCGTGAGGCTGGCTCGTAGTTTAGAACTGACATATCTAAATGCAAAGATTCCGGTCGAGGTCGACTAGCGGAAAAAGTTGTCGGGACATACATGCTGACACCACGCGATGGCGTCCCTGGATCTCCCGTGTATGAAAAGTTCGATCGTACCGACCGAGTTGGGTTGCCATTTTTACGTTGGTCATTGTGATTGTTCAATGGCTCCGAAGACATACTGTAACATAAATAAATAACTTTAGCTTCGGCACACCACTCTTACCTTGTGCATTTTAACGTTTGTTCTTCACAATCTGAAGACCGCCTCTCATTTTCAGAATCGTCCTTAATGCTGGAAGAAATTTTTTGCGATTTCTGCAACATGCGTTTGTTGATACGTAAAAGTTACGCATAGATCTTACCCTATGCTTATTGTCCATGTGCGCTAACTGGTCATGGCGTTGTGCTACTACGCATGATATTCGTGCATAAACGTAGACCATCACCACCATGGGAATAAAAAAAGAACCCATCGCGGAAAATATCACGTACCCAGTGTTTCTATTATACCGGCAGTTTTTGTCCTCGTGCCGTCCAGGTTCGTACCATCCAAACATGGGCGGACATGTTATAAGAGCCGAACTAAACCAGACGACTAAAATCATCGACGAGGCCAGTCTCTTTGATCTTCTTCTACGAGAATAGCTTAAAGGTTGCGTTACTGCTAGATAACGATCTACACTGATGGCGCATAAGCTCAAAATAGAGGCTGTGCATAAAAGTATATCTAACGAAACCCATATATCACACAGCACCCATCCCAGTTCCCAGGTACCTGAAACAATATTGTAATCTTAGCCAACCGCAAAGCCCTGACTAAATATACACCAATTACTACTGTTCCCGGTGGCAAAATAAAGATCTATTGATTTATTTTAAGGCTTAGCTGTTTATTTACATCTTCATTAGAGGACCTGATTAACTGGGCGAATTACGGGGTATGTGTACCTACAAATTAAGGGGTTATATAGGAATTATAGACTCTCATTGCAAGAAAGTAGTTCTGGTCGAACCGGTGCGAGTTTGTGCAAGATTTACATTTGAGCTAAAAAGCAAACCTGAGATCGAGGTATTTCCTGTGACGATGAGATAGTGATTATTATCCGGAAGACCGTCGACCAATTTGCTTTGCAAGCACCCACGAAAATTCTGTTGAATGGCAATGAAATAAATAACTTCTCTGGACTAAATCAAGTTTGTGATTAGTGTGTAGTTTCTCTTAAAGGGTATCAATGTTAATTTTCTTTAAAGGTTAAAAGTCCTTTATTAGTAATATTATTATTCATCGATTCAAGTTCAAAAGTGTTATGAATGTGGGTAAGCTTTTTCCTTTCAGGGTTGCATAGGTACCTACTTTATTAACGTAGTTGATCGTGGATTGGGATATAAGTGGTTTGGCTTTTCAAGCATCCGTGATTTTAACTACCACGTAGATTAGCTCGGGTTTCCTTGTTTCTATTCTCTGTTTTACAATGAATTGCTCGATGCATCTTCATTAGATTGTTATTATTTTATTGGATACTTGTATCTAAAAAAGCGGTAAAACAACGGGTTGTTGATTCTATTGCTAACTGTGGTGTGATGCGTATCAGCTGCCATATGTATCACCACAAATTTATTAATTTATAATACATGCATGTTTTTTTCCTAGCTTTTCCTTGTTCACACTTATATTTAAATTGTATATCATGGGACACTACCCTGTATAAGAATAATAAATTTAAAAAAGGCAAGAATGAAATGTGATTTCGTACTAATTTGTTGCTTTAAAATGAAATTTGCCTTTGTCATTACCGCTTAGTATTTTGTTGTTGGTTCCTTACAAAATTCTTAAATTTTTCAAGCTATTACGATAACAAAATTTGCAACAAATTAAAGATAAATTATTTTTTTATTATACCTGAATCACAATCTCCGTTTTAAACACTCAAATGCGTGCGAAAAAGGGCCTTTAAAACACACGTGCTTTAAAGTTGCTAAGTAACGATACTTCAAGTATGACTTTTGAAACTGTCATCTGAATGAAATAAAAACTCCTCTTAGGTCGCTTTCTGTAAATGCAGAACATTTCTTTGGCTTTTGTACCTATCCTTTGGTTGAAGCTTTCACAAACGCGCGTAATTTAGGGTATGCTTCCAAATCTGCTCCACTTTTTAATCGCAGCATTGCTTTAAAGTTTGAATGAATGCACCAAAATATAGAAGATTTAAATACCTTTGACATTTCCTTCATATATGCCAGCATTATGGATGCATTTAAGACTGTATTCGTAAGTAACTTCCTATTCATCCATGGAAACAACTTTTCATATTCTTTATAATAGGCTTTACTGGAGTTGGATTTTACGCTTACCAACGTTTGTTTAGATATTATAACAATCGATTTAATGGGCGGTGTATTATCTTTTTCAACGGAAATCGTTTAATTCACAAAAACGATGATTTTTATAAGTAAACGCCAAGTGACATTTCCATGGCAATCGTGAAATTACGAACACCCAGCCCACTTAATTCGACATGTATTCGAGTATAACGTCAATATGACTTCATTGTATTTCCTATTTTTAAATTATACTGCAGGTATAATAAAAAATACTATAAGATACACGTGTATAATTTGTCTTTAAAGCACTTGCAACGTTAAAGGCACTCCGCTTTGCGTCGTGCCCTTAAACTCGTTGCGCGTGCTTTAAAGACTTGATTATACACTTGTATCTTAATATACTATAATGTAGTTATCCTTTAATATTTAAATGTTAGTTCCCTGTAGGTACCATTCCCACCCCCTTCAGTCTAAAAATTGATATTATTGGGGGCATAGAATAATTTTCAAAAAATAATTACTCGGAAACTAGTCACATTGATACCTTATTTATAGTCAGCTAATTAAAAATTATAGTGTTTCCATTGAGAGAGTGGCCAAGCCATATGAAATGTAGGTATCTTACTCTGTCACGTTGTGAATAAACGTATTTTGATTTCCTCCAATTGCTTATAATTTGCCGTTAATCCAACGTTATTTCATTTAACCGTAGTCGCTTATATTACAGCATCATACCATTCGGCCAAGGCCGTAATCCGTTTTTGCGTTACGCTAAGAAACCATAAAACACTCTCTGAGCGTGTTGTTATCTCCGAGTCCAGAAATGGAATCCTCCAAGAGATCTTTATCTATGAGTAGGTGAAGAGAGATGGAGAGGGTTTTGTGGAACAATTTCCATTACTCCAAGGAACCTTTTACCAGAATTTCAGAGCAATAGTGCTTTCCAGTAAAAAGCAACAGAAGACATGGGCCAAATGGATAGATGAGAAGAGGTATAAATTTTGTCGTACAATTCCCATTGGAAATTTTGACCAAAAATTCCAGTAAACAGTAGTCAATTATATGAATAGATGGAGGGACAAGCGAACGGAGAAATTTTGTAGCCTTAATATCCATTACCTACTGTCAGTAGTATTATATCAAAATTTGAGAACCATATAGGTCTCCTCTAAAGAAGTGGGGAAATTGTTGTCCCATTTTCAAATTTCGATGTCCCTTTAGGTATACTGTGAAAAGGTTTTCATATTGTCAGTCTACTTTCCAAAGAAACTTCGTTTGTATCTCAAATAGTAACGCGGCAGCAGTAGAATTAAAAATGGACCCGCAGTTTGTTTTATCAGTATATTTAAGTTATTCTTAGAAATATCGAAGTAACACAAAGAATCGATGTTATTTATCCTCAAATTTGGCATTGGATTATGTTTATAGCTTTTTCCACGATGTTTCGCGGTTTTCCAGTTATATCTCAAAGTTGTGCTTTTTCAAACTACTGAAACAGTTTATTTTCACCATTACATAAACAGTTGCATTAGTTTTATGGTCACCGTATTTTTTTGTTTGATAGTCCCTGGCATACTCCCTCTGGCTTCGGGCCTGACGCCCACGTAAACAAAATGGTACTAGAAAATGGCAGCCATTTTGAATGACGTCTTACTTGGAATACGTGGGGGGGTAGGGAATGTCCACCCAAGTTTTTATTTGCTTCCTATACACCCAAGTAACTAACCCACAAGAATTTTCATTGTTGGTTATTTTGTTACGTTTGTGTCTGTGTCCACCGCAGGATAAGAAATATTACACCAATATAGGTACTTAGGACGCCTTTTAGCTGTGTTTATTGGCCTGAACTGATACGAGACACGAGATACAATAAACTACCAACGTTTTAAAAATAATAAAGCGGGTCTTACCCATTAAGTGATTAGCAATAGCGGGTGGCATTACGAACACCCCGACCAACCAATCCGCAATTGCTAGCGATATAACGAAGCAGTTCGTCACGGTTCTCAATCTTCTTGTGGTAAGTACAGCAAGTATCACTAACGTATTTCCAATAACAGTGATCACAATAACAACGCTCAACAGGGCCACGAATGCGAGCTCTTGAAAGTGTTTTCCGGTGTCCGGAATTGCTATAGTTGAGTTGTTGGTGAAGATTGTTTCCGGCGTCGTATCTTGCGACATCCCTAATCATTTCTGCAACAATAAGAGAATAGGTTAGTTATTTACTCATTTAAGAGTGTATCTTCACTTAAGCTAGGTATAGTAGTAATGACAAGAAGCATGGTAGGATTTTAAGAGAAGCATGGTAGGATTTTAAGATATTTCCAGAATTATAGAGTTGAGTTTGCGGTGGTGTAGGCTATCATCGCCAGCAGTACTCTCTAGGGCGTTGTACCGCAGCAAATTTAGCGCAGGTAAGAATGGCAGAAAAAAAAGGAAATTTTGTGAAGAAAAAGAAAATAAGAACATTGAGCGGTAAAAATCACCCACGATCATTGATGAGGATCCAATTTTCAAGCGGCTATAAACGATGGTTAGCGGAGTAAGCACAATTTATCCGCACATTATTGAAAAACGAGTAAAGCATTGGAAAATTTATTACGAAATTACAGTGGGACCTGAACTCGGCGAATTGTAAAACCTGTTACTTTTATTTGTAGAAAATGGTTCAGAGCGCAATCAAATACGTTTTCAGCTGAATTATACTTCTGTTAATTGCGAGAGCTTAAGTGGGTCGGGCAATTGTAATGAGTACCGCGCTCTTGAATGGTAATAACCTACTTTTAAACCCCAGGAAAAAGGTTTATGAAAATAAATTGTTCAAACCATCTGTTATAAACAGAAATGTCATTGTACCATACCATTTAATCCCAGCGCACACTTCTTATACGTACTTACAGAGGTACAAGAGCTCGTTAGAAACTACTTCCCGCAGCGTTCTCGGTCGTCATGCCAAAGATTTAAATTGCAAATGCTCCATCGGCTTTAAAATTTATGCAGCTTTCTCCTTAAACTTTGATAACGGAGAAATACCTACTAGCAGCTGTTTACAACTACCCCCTACGCACTAAAGCAACGAATCGGTTTTATGCAAAACAATATGTGGCCAAAACGATTCGCGCTTAGTATATTTCAAAATAATAGGAAATTACGCTTATACCCAAATGAGGGCAATTAGGCAATTAGGGTGCATTTTACAGAGAAACCTCTTGTTGCAATTCAAGAAATAGTCTCGCTATTGTGCGTTTTATTAATCGTAACGAGACATGTTCAGAATTTACATCTAATGTACACCAGGAGCGTGTTAACATCAATAAGTGAAATAGTGCCTCTGTTGGGTAAAATCCATCAAAAAATGCATTTGAAGCCAATTTCTTTTATAGAAGCTGTATCGTACTCCCCGATTCTTCAACATTTATTTGTTGATTTTTCACTACCTATGTTATTTCCAAACCAATTCTCAATTACGGCACCTGGCATTGTCAAGAAAATTACAACTTTTCTTAAATTGTGTTAATATTCGTAACGACTGACTGGTTAAGTATGCACAGATGGGTGCAAGAGTTATAAGGGATCGTTTTAAGGCAGTAGTCGGAAGTATTAGTCAGTTTGGTGATTTAGCCCTGTAATGTGAATGTACCCACGTATAGTCGGTAACTAGGCGAGTAGGCAATGCTATTTCAAATCTATGATTGGCCCTGGGCGTATCCCGATTATTGAACCGCTATAAGTGACCGTATTCGCTCGGATATGGTCGTGGATGTAACGCAATTTGTTAAGCTCTAACAAGTGTTGGTTCAGATGATGTAAAGAATTTATCTGGATGATTGGAGTAAACGAAATATGTGTCATTTTTGCGCAGGGGTTTTCAATGAGCTTTTTGTTCTTTAATTGGTTTTGGCGTCTAGATAGCGGACGTAGGGATAGGATTACATCCATTTTAAGAGGGATACAAAGTTACGTTCCTGAGCTCATCGTAAGTTACTAAGAGAGAGGGATTGATTAACAGCCGATCGGGATTGGCAGAGAGACCGCCAATTTTAGGAACAATCCGCCATTGTGAGCGTTCAACATTTTCTGTGAGGATGAGTCCGATTTGAAAAAACCCTGGAAAAAACATTTCATTAAGTTCTATACGTCGCAGTTACAAGCAGGAAGCTGAATTTTCGGGGTTCAACAAAGTGAAATGTAAACATAGTTGCATCGCTTTAAAAAATTACAAAGAGAATTAAGCAGATAGACATTTTAACGCCGAAAAGGAAATTAAAAACGCTTGTAATTACAAAGCTCATAAATAAAGACTATATTGTTTGTTCGAGAAAGAATATGTCTTTTAATCTATCGCTCTGAAACAACATTTTTTCGCATTCATCGTGCTTTAAATTAAAGTTACGGAGTGAAATTCAATTAAGACGCGAACGACTTCGGGGATAGGACCGTGTCTATGTCAACAAAAATTCAACGTTTCGTCCTCTTTCGTAAGGGACTTCATCAGGACAAGAAATAAAATGCCAATTTAAAAAAAATGAGATGAAGATTAGTGCAGGATGTTAATCCAATTTAGCGCATATTGTAGTTTTGATACGTATCTAAAAATGAATTTTTCATAGAGGTGGATGGCTTTAATTTGAGATTAATATACAGGGTGTTTAGATAATTTAGGGTATCTGGAAGATGTTGTGTACGTAGTTCGAGTGCTAGGTAACCTTTCACAGGTATTTTAACGATTTGCAGGAAGGTGATTTCAAAATTCAAGTAGGATTTTTAAAATTCAGGTAGGATCGATAAAATTCCCCGCGGTTGTCGTACGGTTTGAAAACTATTATATTGTTTAATTGTACATTGCACATTGGAAATAATGTAGGAAAGTAAATGAGCACATATCCTGACAGGTTTTCCATAGCTCTTTTTCCCTTCCTAGTATGAAGTCCCTAGAGCTATTCTCGTGTGATTAAGAGAAGTCAACCCTGGTTTGAATTTGATTTTTTGTTATTTACGTTTTTAATTAAATTTCACTTTCCCCATAGCAACAAAGATATTGTCCGGTAAGTTTATCTGAAACATGAAAAATCGTCTCTAAAAGTAATACGTTTTCACCTTTGAATGAACATTTTATTACGAGAATTCATTTAGTTATGGAGACCTACATGAAAAAATCCCATTTATGCTATACTAATCGTAACATTTATCTTGCCTTGACGATACAAATTTATAGTATCATCTGAATAACTTATTCAATGGTAGTATCGACAGCGCATCACCTTCATGAAAGATCCTATTTGATTTGTTAGCAGGCAAAAATGTCGCCCGTCAAACAGCAACTCGCGAAAGGTTCGTCCTCCTTGTTACCCATTCATAAATCATTTTAACAAAAGCCCCTCGCGCAAGTTTTAAATTAGGATTGACAGGGAAACCAATTCGAAATACGAATATATTCGATAGGTGCGACAGTTAATAAAACAAAATTTTATAATTCTCTTCCTGAAGGAGACGTCGTACCTAAAACGATCATCGATCTCAATTACTATTGTTGGTATTACTTCTTCAATGTTCATTCAAGGTATAAATTAATGTAGTATGATTTTCTCTCTATAACTTTGTTGGCGATTAGGTAATTATATTATACAGTGTGCTTCAGCGATTAGCTGCAAATGAAAAAGTGTAAAAACACCCTGAAAAACACTAATTAAAACATTACGATCTACTCTGTGAAACACTACTTCATTCGAAATTATTTAGGTCATCAATATTAAGTTGCCAAGAAACAGCAGCTACAATTTTATAAATTTATGTTTGTTCATATATCTCCTATTGAGGCTTGTTGAAATAATTTCCTACTAAATATATGTATTAATCAAAATAACAAATTTTTAGTTATAATTATTGTTTAACAGCATTCAACAGCGTGTAATGGTCTTTTTTGTGTAGGCATCTACAAAACAACCGCATCGCTTCTGGCAGTAAAATGCGCATACCGATGCAATACAAATAAATGTACGCCTGGGTTCCCCCAAGCGTTATTAATTCCGGCACGTTTATTGTAACAAGTAGTCTGTGTCTTTACGCTGTTGAATAAAAAAACCATAGAAGGATTCCAGCAGATTTTAGAAATCTAAGTGTAGCCTATAACTCTTTGAGCTTTCAAATAATACCAATGTGATTGGAGTGCGGATTTCGGTAGCATGTGGCTTTTAAAAGTTCGAGGTGGCATCCTTCTAGAGAACTGGCAGATGCACAAATAAAGCCGAAATAATAAATTAAATTAACCCAAATTTCAATGTTCTAGAAGTCTAATTCAACGCTAATTTGGTGACAGATATTAATAATTGCACAAGAAAATATAGACGAATAAGCCTTCAAGAGAGACACATTATAAAATTCTTCAGTTAAAGCTCGCGCTTAATTTCGCTTAATTGTTTAAACGGAGAGGTGGTTTTAATCCTATGGGTAATTTGTATTCCACCTTCTCTTATTTCGTAGGGTTTTATGTGAAAAAGTTTCCTATATAGCAAGGGTAGAAGTTGATTCAATTTACTATAATTACTTGAAAACAAAGCACAAAGTAACGTTTCCAATTATCATAATTATGCTACACCAATATAGTCCGTTTGCGTGGCCAATTAGCTTCTAAGTAAACATATTATTGCTCGTTCAAGAACCCTACTTTGGTTATTAACTTGATTTTCTGCTAAATATCACTAGCTCAAAAGGAAAATTACTCGAGTGTAGTTTCACGTGCAGGGAAATGACGGATAGATTTTGGGGCAAATATTTAATGATACAGTATATGAACAATTTGGAAGCAGTTTTAAAGCCAGTTGCCAAATACTTGACAGAGCAGCTTCCTAGAATTCAAAGCAAATATTTAACAAAAAAAACGTTTTTGACAGTCTTAGGTGCATCGTTTATACCTATAATATACACTGCTAAAAGGTACATAATTGAAAATTGCTTTGTTTTGGATTTCTTCTATTGTTTTGTGCATCTTTTTCTTAACACATGACTCAACGCATTTTCCCTTTGCGATCTTGATGCATTTTGCATGCGTGCATTTCCAAAGCACTCAAAGCCCCAAATCGCGAAATTCTCATTCTTTTGGTGTTCCTCTTTTTTTAAGAAAAGATTCTGCAATCGCTTCCCTTATAGTACGGGAGGTAGCGTCCTATTTTTACAGGTCATTTTCGCACCATTGCTTTTTATTCTGCCTGGTAGTTTTTACTTAGTTAACACTTAAAACAAGCTGGTTTATTTTTCACCCTGCTTTCTACATTCTGTGTCTCATCTTTGGTTTCTTTGTAGCATTCAATAATCGTCTCGCTATTGCGTGCATGAGGTGCGGAAGTTTCAATTTTATTTTCTCCTTATCTTCCTCGACCACCAGAGGGCTATTTTCTAATTTTTGGGCACGGCTCCCTAACAGGGAAATAAAAGTTAGTCGCGCCTGAAAGATAATCTCACACAAACATACCTAGTCTCTCCGTGAGCAGCCGCAGTCGTGGTTAGGGCTATTAGTTTCCTTTTTTTGGTTTGTTTTGTCTCTTTTGATTTATTTTATGTCCTTAACCACGTTACAGCTAACAGGTTTTGCCACATTTAAATATCAGCTGACAGTTATTTTTTATGCTCTTTTTACATTGTACACTATTATATATAACATTTTCAGCTTTGCGAAAATGGTCCGAAAAACAATTTTTTTTACGTCTTTCTCAGTCTCTCGCCATCTTAAGCCACGCTTTTGCACCAGCTGACGCCCCTATCGTTGATGGGTTATGGATCAAAAATCTATAGTAGAAAGATGAACTTTGCGAAAATGGTCCGGTCAAATAGGACGCTAGCTCCCGTACTATTAGAACAATCATTTTCTCGAAAAGGGCAATACCACTTTGAAAACACCGGTTCTCGTTCGATCACCGAAGCTAAGTAATGTCGGGCCCACTCAGTACTTGGATAGGTGACCGCTTGGGAACACCTCTTGTTTTTGATGTTTGCTCATTTTTATCTATTGGTTTTATTTATCTTCTTGATTTTAATATCACAGGACAACATATAATTAATAATCGTAATGGAATGTTCATAATTAGATTTTTAAACCCCGTTGGAAAGTTTGGCCCTGCTGCGTATTTCCGTTCTAGAGAACATTGTTTTTTACAGGATCCGGATGTCGGGGCAGTACGATAGCAAAAATTTAGATCATATTTGTCTTATTATTAGTGCTATTGGATTAAAATGACGAGCACAGCATTAGATCACTCTTTTGATCAGGAGGAGATTAGTCAGCCTGATTTCAATAGTTGGTCTCACCTCTTTCTTCTGTGGTTTCGTCCATGTTGGCATTAAAAAATATACTGCACTTAATTACTGCACGTAATATCCAAAAGAGGAGAAGATTTTCGGATGATTCGTTTTTCGGATCTCTGATACAAACGGGAAACGTACCAGTTAACGTTTAAATTAATTCGCGTCGTAATCATGGCCAAGCATCGTTTTAGGACGCTATGACATAGAATTATTGTGCAATAAAACGGACTAGATATAGACCATCCAGTAGAAAAATAGCCGAGTTTAAACGCAGGACTTAGAGAGCACCCCTTCGGGGGACGTCTCTCTGATCCTGTCGACATACAGGACGTAGTAGATCTCCTTACCAACTCTATTGTGGAGTCATTTGAACAGGCGTGTCCTCTGAGAACTGCCAAGACTCCCTATAACCATCCTTGGTGGTGCAGGGCGCTCGAAAAGCAGAAAACTCGATTGGGCAAACTGTTTAATAAGGCAAGGAAGAGCAATGCTGCAGCCGACTGGAGAGCCTACAAGGCAAACCTAAGGCTATACAAGAAGGACATTAGAAGGCGTCAGAGAGAGGCATGGAGGGATTTCTGTAGCTCTATAGAATCCACCTCCTCGGTATCTCGCCTAATTAAAATCCTTACCAAAGATTCATACCACAACCCAGCTAGCCTCAGAAGAGAGGATGGTTCCTATACGGACAACCTCACAGAGACAGCTGAGGTACTAAGAGACGCTCACTTTCCTGGAGCCACCACCACGCCTTACCCCAACTGGCCTGAGACAATCCCTTTCACTTCCACGGAGAATGACTGGGCGGTTGCCTGTCAGGTGGTGGACGTGGCGAGGGTGACCTGGGCGGTGAAATCGTTCTCAGCATACAAGTCACCCGGTTTGGACGGCATAATAGCGGCTCTCCTGCAATGGGGACTGGATGTTATTGCTACCTACCTAGTGGGAATATATACAGGCTGTATCGCTTTCAGATACATACCTAAACAATGGAGGGAGATAAAAATTGTTTTTATCCCCAAACCTGGAAAAGGTGATTACTCCACACCTAAAGCATATCGTCCAATCAGCTTGATGTCTTTTCTTCTTAAGACACTTGAAAGACTGTGCGATAGATACATAAGGGATACGGCGCTAACACGGTTTCCGCTGCATCCTAACCAACACGCATACTGCCCAGGAAGATCTACGGAATCAGCCCTGCACTGCGTTGTAGGGCAGATTGAGAGATCGCTGCACTATAAAGAGTCCGCACTGGGAGTATTCATAGATATAGAAGGGGCTTTCGACAAAACAACCTTCGATTCAATAGAAATGGCTCTACGTCACCACGGCGTACCGAACGTCATACGAGGCTGGATTGCGCAGCTGCTGAATCTCAGAGCAGTGCACATCAGCGTTGGCGACGAAACACTAAGGTGCACAGTAGTGAGAGGATGCCCCCAAGGTGGGGTGTTATCACCACTTCTGTGGAACTTGACTGTAAACAGGCTCCTCTGTCGCCTTAATGACAGTGGGTACTATACGCTGGGGTATGCGGATGATATATCCATACTTATAACCGGCAAATTTGAGGCTACTTTATGCAGACTGATGCAATCAGCTCTTACAGTAACCGAAGAATGGTGTAGGGAACACTCCTTGTCCATCAACCCGACAAAAACGGAGCTAGTTCTCTTCACAAGAAAAAGAAAGGTAGAGGGTATTCGAGCTCCCCTGCTATTCCAAAAACACCTCCAATTTTCAGAGTCAGTGAAATATCTAGGAATCACACTCGACAAAAAACTGAATTGGAGCAAACATATCCAGCTTAAAGCCGAAAAAGCAAATAGGGCTTTCTGGCAAAGTCGCCGCGCTATTGGCAAACTTTGGGGACCATCCCCGAAGGCTGTCCTGTGGCTGTACACTGCCGTGATTAGACCTATGTTCTGTTATGGAGCAATTGTCTGGTGGCCTAGAACCAGACTCTCCACAACTGTAGCACTCCTTAATCATGTGCAAAGACTAGCGTGCCTTGCCTGCACAGGCGCGATGCGAACGACCCCCACAGCCGTCATGGAGGCCCTCTTGGATCTGCCTCCACTAGATCTCCACGTGAGAGAGCAGGCCATTCTGGCATTCCTGCGTCTGAAAAATAAGGGGTTGTTGAATAGCAGAGGCATTGAGGGGGGCCACTCCCGAATTCTGGGCGAAGCGATCAAGCGTCTGCCTATCCTAGAGGGGAGATCGGACTCACTCACTCCTCAATTCATATTAGGGAAAAACTATCACATCTTCTTTGATGAGAATATGGCATCCCAACCAGATATATTCATCTTCACGGATGGATCTAAGACAATGGAAGGTACAGGCACTGGTATTTACTCCAAAGAACTGAACTTCCATATCACCCAACCACTAGGTAAACTTCCTACTGTATTCCAGTCAGAGTTGGTAGGATTAACGCTTAGTGCAAGAACAGTTCTTATGCATAACATAAAGAACAAAACTATCAGAATCTCAAGTGACAGCAGGGCTGCCTTGCAGTCACTTGGTCACTGTAAAATTACCTCTAGGATGGTTTCCGAATGTCACCACGTACTAGAGCAAGTAGCAAGCAGCAACACCCTTGAGCTCGTATGGGTCAAAGGGCATGCTGGAACGGAAGGTAATGAGAAAGCCGATAAATTAGCCCGACTGGCCTCAAAACAGGCGTTTTATGGTCCAGAGCCGGCTCTTCCACTTACAGTTAAAACTGTAAACAACCTAATAACTCAAGACACCCAAACCCAGCACAGGGCTAGGTGGAACTTGATGTTAGATTGTCGCCATGCGAGAGAAGCCTTCAGAGGACCATCTCGTAGCTTGGCGCGTTTTTGTACAGGGCTATCAAGGAAGAACCTGAGGTTACTCGTGGGCATACTTTCTGGGCACTGTAAACTAAACAAGCACATGCACTGCATGGGTTTGGTGGAATCACCATCTTGTAGAGGATGTTACACAGACGACGAGACGGCATACCACTTACTCTGTGAATGTCCCGCTCTAGTCCAACTGAGACGATCCATGTTGGGGGAATCCTGGCCGGACATGGCTACGATTAGAGCCGCCTCCCCTTCCAGCGTCCTAAGGTTCATCTCACGTGTGGGATGGCTTGAGTGATGCTGAGGGGTCGGGCGACCCTAGTCAGGGAGGTAGTACAAAGGGCCCGAATTTGAGGCCTAAGTACGCGTGGACACTGTTCACCCTCCTATCGTAATCCAGAATATCCAGAATATCCAAACGCAGGACGTATTTTTTCCGTTATCGCGAGTGAATGTATAAAAACCTTTCGTATTAAGTTACTGCACTGTGAGTGAATAAAAAGATTTCAACTCCGTGTCCGGACTACGTGACACTAGAGTGATATCAGTTCGCGCAATTAGAAAAAAACATTAACAAACAGTTGGAACGAAATAATGTGCGGTTTAGTAATCAAATTTCCTTTTTTTCTGTAAAGACAATAAGTTTTTCACCCATTTATTAAAACTCATTAATACTACGCTACACTCCAACGTTTAAAAAATGCGTTTTCTTGCGATATACATGAACAAGAAAACATTTCAAGCTGTCAACGATTCCTGTTCAATAGAAAAAAAAACATGCGCCCATCTCGTTTATGTGTAAGATACCTTTTATGTGTAAAATATCGCGCTTTGTATTGTTATTCGATTTTAATTCAAATTCACACCAAAAAAACCCATGGCCACGTTCTAAATTTAATTAGTAAACATGTTTATAAATAGAAAGACAATCTATGGAAATGTGGAACCTAGACATTATATATTATTTTCATCAAATTTTGTGTTTAATTTGGCAAGCAAGTTAAACATATGTAAAGTAAATTTCAGATAAAAGAAGAACAAGATACGGAGCATCGCATTCGATTTTCAGTAGGGAAATTTACTTCCACTCGACTCGCAATGGGAAAAGCCGGCTCATACTGAATAGCGCTGGTCCTTGAACTAGTAGAAATCGATTTGCGAAAGTTTCACATCCCATTTCGTTCTCGAGTTAAGCGAGGAACACACGGACAGACAGACAGCAAAACCATAACATAAAAGGGAATTTTTTTCTTTCGAAAAATTTCCCTAAAAAGGAGAAGTTTTTCAGGAAGTAAGTACCTAACTGTATAATTTACATTTATTTACATTTATAACAAATTTCCATGTCACAGTAAAATCTCTGTTTTAATTGAAACAAGGGATGTTCACTCTCCTTAAGCGGTTTTCAACCACGTTGCATCTTAATTTCTGTAATTTGAAATATGCTCCTATTCAATTTCTATCCTGCATTACAAATGGATAGACAAAAAAAGATAATTACCAATAATGTAAAGATTTTGCAAGATGAATTCAATATAACTGTGGAATTGTTGAATAAATTTTTATCGAAATGTCGTTCACAAGCCGCGATATTAAAAAAATTTAGAACTATAAAAAAAGTCAAAATCTTGTTATATCCGCAGCCCCCTCTCCCCAAACTTCAGCGCATGGATCGCCCGAAATTGACTTGGTATTATTTAGGCGCCCTCTACGACACGCAGTGCCGTCTACGGTACGGTTATTCTTTCCCAGTGGCGTAGTAGGTACATAAAAGTTACAATAAGAATATAACACCTCTTACCCCAAACAATAAAAAGTAGCCGATCACTGAAGCAGTTTAAAACAAAATTACGACGTTTCCTGGAGGCCAATGTTATTTACAATGAGGGCGAGTACCTCTCTGTATGTGAAAATTTTATTGTCTATTAATTGTTTGTTAGTCTGACGTTGTAATACCTACAATTGTACATTGTTTTTTACAAAAAATAAAAATGAAAATACAGCTTAGATGAGGAATTTAGTGATTAATTAATCTTACTCTCCTGGAAAATTTGCAAAGAAAGTTACGTTATAATGATCTAGCAGATACGATCCGAATCTGAATGAATTAGGACATTGCACACGTGTTGGTTGTTGAATTTAGTCAGGATTAAATGAGCACGTCATTCTAACTATCGGTTATCTATGTAGATGGGAAAGTGAGAGATCGGTTCTGCCTCACTTGCATTTTTAAAGAGAAGATCGTGAGATGCGAGCGACTTCCGGGATAGGACCGTGTCAATGTTGAACGAAAAGTCAACGTTTCGCTCCCTCTCGTAAGGAACTTCATCAGGACAAGAAAAGAAACAAAATAATCATAAACATAAAATATATAAAACTCTTACCAATGAGCTAACGGGAGAAACACGCACTACCCCACTAAACTGCACACGCTGTAACATTGAAACGAGAAGGCTAAACCTGAAGAAATTGGAGAAAATGATGAACAGCGAATGATATAACATTTTCAAAGCGGAGAGAGTCACCATTACTCATCACGGTGGAAATTTCAGAGGGTGATATGGATCATGTGCAGATGTAAAGATGTAAGTATATCCAAATATGGTTTGTGGTGTGGTTTTCTAGTATTATCTGTGGAGTGCATATGTAGCACCGTATCTGTTACGATTATATGTTTAAGAGCGAATATCTTTTGTGTATGTTTTTAGCTACAACTGTCATGAAGAAAGTACATTGGAAGGTCGAATGCGCACTCGTTTTTTGAAATATTTTAAGCGGGGCAATTCAGAAATTCCAATGATGTAGTAGGTACATAAAAATTATATTAAATTTCGGGGGAAGCTATCGGCTTAGACGAGGAATTTAGTGAATAATTAATCTTACTTAGTTAATGTATATATTTTAGAAATGTAAATCTGTGTATTATAACATAAGTACAAATACTTTCGTTTTTTCTATAATTTACGCCGCCGCTGGTAAGTAATCTGAAGCTATTAAAGTACACGATCATTGCCGAGCTGTAAAAGTCATAAGAGTAAAATAAAATAAAAACAATTTCTCAGTTCTAATTCCCGCTAGATGTAGTTATTCTGTGAAAATGGAAATCTGTACTCATTAACAAATCGGTTCTCAGTCTTGCAGGATCCGGATCCGGTGGACTTGGGTCCAACATTGGCAGTTTTGGTAGACCAAAGGAACAGGCGATGCAAAGCATTAGAGAATTTGTGGCAGCGCAGAGGGTCTACGGTAACGATGTTATGGAGAAACCCAAATACTTCACGTATAGTACAGTTATTTCAATGCTTACACTGTAATTGCTCGTTCATGATGTTTTTTTACTGTTACTTGTTTGTGTTAATTTTTCCCTGCAATAGCCACTAAAATATTGGTTGCATTTTGCCTGGACGCCTACCCTCTACTATTCACAGGTACACTACCTAACTATTAACTTAGAAGACAACTTAAACAATACTGCATGTCTTGTAGGTAATTCAGGAAAATACCTGTAGACATTGAGAGTCAGTTCCCATCTCAACTGAAGTAACTATATACACAACATCTCAGAAACATTAACCCTTACATAATACGTCACTTTAAGACGCTCGAAATCCAATTGCAGGGAAACTTAAGCATCGCAAATGGAACACGTAGTTATTATGCATTTACAATGTTGACATAAATTAAGGTGAACGAAGAAAACTAGTCGGGGAGCACTTAGCGCAGAGACAGAAACAATATTGTCTTTCATTTTTACTTAATTTGTAAAGCAGATAGCAAGACCAGATATTGAGTTAAGGAAATAGCGGGGAGTCTCATTTTCATGACGCAAGAGTCTTAACGATTTGTACCGTCTCTGCCACAGAAAATAATTGTGTTTCTAATGACGTAAGATACAGAGAGTACATTGACTGATTTAGACTAGAAACTATACCCCAAGCAAAATGTTAATCTTGGCGTTGGCAATATGTAATAAAGAGGATCATGTCTGACCACTACATTCTTACACAGGTACTTCACGTATTAATTACGTCCTTCGTTTATTATACACTTCATTGAATGCGCTAATGGTAATTCAATAACATAAAGATTATTAGTAGTCGATTTTGTATTATCTTGCATATAATTTTTTTCATTGGAATAATTCAGAAGAATTATAGACCACTGCAACAGGTTTTAATAAAAGGCAGTGGAAAATTTACTTTAGCAACGTTTAGTTTTACGGAAAATTCGTTAAATCTACAGTACATTACTTTGGATGATATTATATGGATGAGATACACGCTCGCCCCAAGCGCTTATAAATTAATCATTCATGTCGTTGCTCATTACAGTGCCAATTTATGTGAATATTTGAAGATAGGTGCGTTACTGCTACTAATATTAGTCACTCGTGGACATCAAACAATCCAAACATATATGTGCGTGTTATTAGCCATTTAAAAGAAAGGGACAGTACGATGATCCCGGTATTTTGAATTTTGTTCACGACGACATAAAGCTAATCTTGCAAATGCGTTCAACACTAGTAGTCATAATCGACAACATTCTTTGCCAAAGAACAAAATTACTCGCGTGATTATTCATATATAGTACTACCGTATTGATTTTGGTATAGACTAGTTGCTAATTAAAAATGAGTATAAGTTTCCATTGTGATGTTAGTGTAACTTTCGCTGAATACTTTAGATTAATTTAAAGTGAATTCAATGTAACCTGACGAAAGAAGCCAATTTTCATTGTGCACTCTACGAACAACTACGTTTTAAGCCGATACGCGTTATTTTTTCGTATGTAGAAGCGTAACAGTGCTTTGTATCTTTTTATTGGCCTGCTTCTTATCATTTTGGTCTTTTACAACTTTGTAGTAACGAACTGGGATGCCATATGAACCATGTCAACACAATCGTGGAGAAAAAATTACATTCCGCACGTAGATAATAGCAACAATTCCACATTCCTGAACAACAACTTGATGAACCCGAGTTATTACTTAGCCTGGTTTCATTTAAACGGTTATGTTAATGGTCAAAATTATCGAATTTGGGGCGCATTTCGTCGAGTCATATTATGTTGAATTTAGCTATTCGTGATATGAATATGACCCACCTCTTTTTTTGTTTACAGTATATAGAGTAGAAATAAATCAATAAGGGGCAACTCTACAGTCATGGGCCAAGTTTGCATATAACGGAAAAATGTCGTGACTAATTACTTTCCTCTCTAAAGGCATAATCCCTTTGGGCGTATTTTTTGTGCTAATTCCATGTATAAACACCATTAATTAAATGAACGAGTATATTAATTTTACATACCCACTTATTTAATAGTAAACAACTCTTACACGGAATTTTAACAAATTCCAGAACAGCGTTTCTGCGACCAAATAATTGTTGCTTGGCTGCTACTAACGCAGGAGTGCCAGAAAGTTTACCCCTGGCGGTATAATGTAACGCAAATTTACGATTATTAGTGGTTGTTTTTCACTTACGTACGATATTAATTGTAATTATAGTGTGATGGTCGTTTGCACCGACAAATTTAAGTGGAGCTTAGCTTAAGCGTAGCTTAAAATCCATGGCAACGATTATTGAGACAATGGTTGCCATGGATTTTAAGCTACGCTTAAGCTAAGTTACACTTAAATTTGTCGGTGCAAACGGCCATTAATGTTCCAAATGATACTTTTGAACTATGTACATGGCTGTATCTAGTTATAGTATATCTATCTCCAAAACAAAAGAATGAGAGTTTTCTCTATAATTATGCACTGCGTCCAAGGTAAGGATGTCTATCATGGGGTTCTCGGAAACCATAGAAGATACGAAGATGGTCAAATTAGGAAAATGTTTTGCGCAATTAAAGAGTAGGTTGTAACGTTGTAATTATTCTAAGTTAGTCAGTACGAATTTCCCTTGTTACGGCACTGGCGGGGGAGAATGCGATGTAACCTTCAATTGTTAGTTTTGACGATGGTGGGTTTCGGCATTGGTACCTGCGCGATTGGCGGGGCGAGGAAAGTTCGTGCGTGTCTTACTTTCTTTTCGTTGCTCGTTTTGGGAAGACGCAAAAGTGTCGGTTGAATATTAGTTCGCTGGTGTAATGTCGTAAAAGATTGGTTTCCGTCATCTATTGAAGTATTACCTTTCACGGAATCATCTTATTAAACTATGGATTGATAGTTTTTTTTTGGTTAATCAATATCGTAGTGAACTCTTTTGAGAGGCTTTTAAACGAATTACCAGCGAAACTATGTAAGTAGATATACGGAATTAATATCTCGGCCATTATAATGTTCATTTTTAGTGACCGTATCTTCCTGATCGTTATTAATTATCATACAACGTCAATCTTTCCAATAGACCTTCTTTAATAAGAGGTAAAGAGGGTTATGCGTACTACAATGCACCGTTTTAAACAATCGCTTTTTAGGGTCCTTGTATCCCGTTTAAATTTGCACATTAACATATGTCACCGGAGGGACGTCCATTTTGAATTATTACCAACAGATGCCTTCATCTGAATACACATTCAGCAGTAATCAGCCGTTTGGAACCATGAGATAGAATACATAACCTATATCTGAGCTTATCACCGTCGAAATAATTACTTAGCCTATATCAATTATCTGACCAGTTTTGGGGAAATTTTCACTATTTTAAATTTAACTGTAAGCGTAATTCTGGTTAACGATCTTTCGATTAATGCCGACATAATTGGCTCTGATTATTGTTTTTGCATTTGAGATCTCCTTCGGAGACATGATTTAATATTGGTTTGTCCTATTACGATCGTGGGAAGTACCGCAAGTGGTAAGCCCCTCAGGCACCGTTAAGTACCTCACTGTAGCATTTTTGATTCACCGAGGCATTCTCGGTTAATTTGTCCTTTTATTCTTTATTATAGCTACTAGGTTGAACATTCCTGGGATGAGCTCACTCCACGAATGCCTTCGGAACTCCAGGTAAGAATAATACCTTCTCTTTATATACTTGTGTGTTCGCCACCTCGTTTTGGGGTTAATAACGTTAAGTTTCATGCCGTCGGGTGTGATCGAGTTATCGTTCACTAATTTGTGGGATTAATGTTCAATTAAGTAAAGTTTTTGGGGGAATTCAATTTAGGGGAAGAGATTAGTAAATGTATATTATTTTTAGTAGTGCATATTCATGCGTTAAGATTTTTTCTTGAATTTGGTGTACCTTACTGAATAAATTTTTGATTTTTGGGTTGGTCAGGTACTCACTGATTATATTATTGTTGTGCCGCTACTGTTACACTTCTTTATTCCGGTAACAGTCAGTGTATAATATTCCAGGTAATAAGGTGGCGCCCTTACTGCTTTGCTCTAGCATACCTAATTATTAGATGAGAGGAACGGAATTCAGTGCCCGCAGAGACCGAACGATACCTAATGACCCTTGAGTGCTCAAGCTTACCCCGATTAATAGTCACCCCTGAGCTAGTTGGCCGATTAGCGGCGGGTTTGAGCAAATTCACCGTTATAAAAGTGGCATCCCTGCACGTGGAGCCTTTGCCTGCGTTAATTATCATATCACATGTGTTTTAATTTTCACTGGCGCAACTGATTCCATTCCACTTATCTCTAATTAATTTTTTTTTAATTGTTGCTTTACTTGACTTTGATCAATTATAATTTATATATATATTGGGAATATTTTGACATTAATTATAAGATCTATTGGTATCATTATTCAATGGATATAAACCGTTTGAGAGAGGCTGAACTCAAGTATGAGATTCAGATTCGGGGAGGTCAACCCGGAGTTAACGTTAGTGAGAGTCGAACCGTTCTTCGTAAGTTATTCGAAGCTGAGAAAATCCCCGGCTATGTTGCTCCGGATTACCCCTTTACTTTTTCTGAGGATCTAGCTGCTCTCACTGAGTTGACCAACACTTTACAAAATAAAATTGATTCTTTTGAAGACGCCTATGGTGGAGGGTCTTATTTATCCATAGTAGCCATGCTAGTGCATGCCGATCGTCGCTTACACCGGACGCAG